TTAGAATTACACAATGAATCTAGAATGTTAATCATTACAGTATTTGGAAATTCCAAATTTGGAAATCTCCTTGACTGAAATAAACCATTACAATTTAATAAATGTTACACTAATTAATAAGGCGCACCAATCAAATAAATAGCTCTTGGAAAATAACCCAAATATTGGAGATATAAATATTCCAACATTCTAAAGTGTAACAGATTACAAAGTCTCAGAATAATATTTAAATGAAAGAATTTTACATGACTCCATATTGACTAGAAATTACTTGAAAATAATTCTAAATGGAAGGTTTAAATAATAATTAAGGAATATATTAATTAGTATAAATTAGGATTTCAACAAAGTCGGATAACTAGATGATAGAACCTTTAACATGTATAAATACGTTGTAAATTTCTCTTTCATGTAATAATGAGTTCATCAGTTAATTCATTCTTAACTACTATCTTGTAATAACAATAATATCTTATTAATAAAATACAAACATAAATATCTCTTAAAATAATCTATTGCCAGTGGAATTATCCACCCACTTCCTAAACCATATAAACCTTTAACTCTAACCTAATTATTAATTAATTACTATCTTACCAGGGGGATGCCTTTGATAAGTATAGTGTGTGTATTCTCTTTTAATCTTATTTTCTTTATTTTTATTTTAGATTAGGCCAACGCCTAAACAAGTGGAAACCCTAGCTAGGTGCGGTCAGTTAGAAACACTAACCATTAAAAACACAACACATCAGTAGTATACTTGTTGTCGGAATTCCATAATTACGGCAAATTCGGCATTATGGTATAAGCCATAAATGATTTTTGGCATGAGACCTCAAAGTCATAAAAGTCGTAAACCGTAAAACCGTAAAACCGTAATGCCGTAATGCCGTAAAACCGTAAAACTGTAATGCCGTAAATGCCGTAAATGCCATAAATCCTAATACCATAATAGTAGTACTGTAACACCTAATACCAACATAGAAAAATTTTCCCATGAACATTTAATAAATATTAAATGTCTTTATTAAACAACAGTGAACAATAATAAATATTTATAGAAATGGTTATATTATATGAAGTAATAAGTTTTTTCTTAACAAAACATTTTTCAATTATTAAAAGGAAAAAATGAGTTCTGTGAGTTCTGTCAGGTCGGGCATGTCAAGTAATCATCAAAGCAATAGTCAAACAAATAAAAGAGGTTGTAAAGAATCAATTGTTTGGGAGCATTTTTTTAAAGAAACAATAGGAGATGGCCACTTCTCTGCCAAATGTCATTATTGCGCAGAAGCTTGGTCTAGAGGGAAACCTGAATTTTTGAAAGGGCATCTAGCTTTACATTGTTCTGCAGTGCCAACTAATATAAAACTTGAATACATGCAAATACTTATAGAACAACCTTTGAGTTCTAATAAAACACAGAAGATAAATTCATCTAATCCATCCATTACCAATTATTTTGATTCTTCTGCAGAAGTTGATGCAAGTAAGAGAGAGAGAATAAATCAAGCATTAGGTAAAAACAGTTACATTATACAATTATATTATATAATATATGTTTGTCAATTAACATACTTGTCTATTAAATTGTTTTTTTAGTTTGATTTTTTATATGTTGCGGTATTTCTTTTTCAACTGTAAACCATCCTTTCTTTGTGGATTTTACAAAAAGTTTGTGCTTTGGGTATAATCCTCCAAAAAAAACCACACTCTCAACTACCATTTTGAATAAAGAAATTTCATCAGTCTTAAATAAAATTAACGAGGAGCTTAAAAATGAGGATAATTTAACATTAGGTATCAAATCTGATAAATTATTAAATATTGTATTAATTTAATTCATCTTTATGTCTTTATTTAATTTATATTTACTACTATAGCCATTGACGGATGGTGTGATCCTTTAGGAAAATCAATTTATGCATTTGTTATAATTACTCCAAATAGAAAGCAATATATTCATTCTTTGGTAGATGAATCAGGTGAATTTCATACTGGGAATTACAATGCTGATGAAATTGAAAAGGTTTTAACTTCAATTGGTCCAGAAAAATTTGTGGCAGTAGTTTCAGATGGTGAAGCAGCTATGCAAATGGCAAGAAGATTAATCTCTCAACAATATCCTAATATTTTATCAATACGCTGTTTAGCCCACCATATAAATTTAATTACAACTGATTTAGTAAAGTTAAAGTTTTCCAACACTATTTTGTCAAAGTGTAAAAAAATTATAAATTTTTTCAAAAAATCTTATCGTGCAGGTGCTGCACTTCATGAAGATATTATTAATTCTCTTGTAAAAGGAGGAGGATTAAAAACACCAGTGAAGACCCGATGGACCACAATGTGGGATTGCTGTGATTCCATCATAAGACTAGAAATTTGTCTAAAAAATGTAAGTTGATGTTTGATATAGCTTATAAAAAACCTATATACAAATATGTGTCATGTTCTATTCATTGCCATGGAAACAGATTTCATCTAAATATTTATTTTTTATTATTCAGGTTCTTGGAAAAATTTTGAGATGTACTTGCACCTGCTAAAAGAGCAGTTAAAAATATTGAGGCCAAATCAAGTAACATGGCTTCATGTTTTTTGGAATTAGTGAAGATGGCAATTGCCATTAAAAACCTGCCATCTTCTTTGGATACAAATTTTAAAAGGCAATGTATTAGAATATTTAATAAACGTTGGGAAAAATTAGATGTAATGACATATCTTCTCACCTTTTTCTTCCACCCTAAATATCGAGGTAAGTTAATATCTAAATTTTATTTTATCTGTATTGGAAATATCCTTTCCATTGTTCTCACTTTTAAAAATTATTAGCCAAAGGCTTTCAAAACACTATCTTTCGTGAAATGAGTTTGTTTGCTATGAAAATCTGGACAGATTTTGGTGGTGGCACAAATAGTTGTAAGATTTTAATGGCGCAAATTCGAAAATATTCAGAAAATTATCCTCCTTATGATATGGAATATATTGATAATCATGATACACCTGAAATTTGGTGGGCAACTTGCCGCCAACCAGATAACTTTATCCAACAATTAGCTCTGAAATTATTTGCTGTCGTTCCTCATCAAGTTGCATGTGAAAGGGTGTTTTCTGTCCTAGATTGGATGATTGGCAAAAGGAGAACAAGGTATTACTTACATTTATAATTTAAATTCTATATATTTAAATTCTAGTACACACATTATCACTCATAAAATTCAAACTCTTCACTTTCTAAGGATAGATACTACACGACTTCAATCAATGGCACAAATCCACTCATTTTATATTACCAATGCAAAAACAGAGCTTAATTATCCCAATAGTGATTTAACTGATGATGAACTTGATACCACCATTCAAGAGATTACTGCAGCAATGGCTGAGGATGATGATTTGTTTGAATATAGTGAAGATAATGATTTATTTGAGTATGGCGAAGAAGAGGAGGGTGAAGATCAAAACGAAGAGGAGGATGAAAGTCTTGGTTTAAATAATGACATTTTGTTTATGGAAGATATTATGAATTTGAGCCTTGGATTTGATGAAAATGGAAATGAAGATGAAAGTACAACTAGGAATGAGCAGGAGATTTTTGATCATGGT